TGATATTTTGTAATAAAACGTGCATGACATTTTGTATTAAAACGTGCACGATATTTTGTATTGAAACGTGCACGATATTTTGTATTGAAACGTGCATGACATTTTGTACCAAAACGTGCATGACATTTTGTACAAAAACGCGCATAACATTTTGTATTAAAACGTGCATAACATTTTGTATTGAAACGTTTGTGACATTTTGTATTAAAACGTGCATGACATTTTGTATTAAAACGTGCATGACATTTGTATTAAAAAATGCATGACATTTTGTATTAAAACGCGCATAATATTTCGTAATAAAACGTGTATGACATTTTGTATTAAAACTTGCATGACATTTTGTATTAAAACGCGCATAACATTTTGTATTGAAACGTAAATGACATTTTGTATTAAAACGTGCATGACATTTTGTACCAAAACGTGCATGAGATTTTGTACAAAAACGCGCATAACATTTTGTATTAAAACGTGCATAACATTTTGTTTTGAAACGTGCGTGACATTTTGTATTAAAACGTGCATGACATTTTGTATTGAAACGTGCATAACATTTTGTATTAAAACGTGCATGACAATTTTTATTGAAACGTGCATGACATTTTTTATTGAAACGTGCATGACATTTTGTATTAAAACGTGCATGACATTTTGTATTAAAACGTGCATGACATTTTGTATTAAAACGTTTATGACATTTTGTATTAAAACGTGCATGACATTTTGTATTAAAACGTGCATGACATTTCGTATTAAAACGTGCATGACATTTTGTACTAAAACGTACATGACATTTTGTATTAAAACGTGCATGACATTTTGTATTAAAACCTACATGACATTTTGTATTAAAACGTGCATAACATTTTGTATTAAAACGTGCATGACATTTTTTATTAAAACGTGGATGACATTTTGTATTAAAATGTGCATGAGATTTTGTAGCAAAACGCACATAACATTTTGTATTAAAACGTGCATGACATTTTGTATTAAAACGTGCATGATATTAGGTATTAAAACGTGCATGACATTTTGTATTAAAAAGTGAATGACATTTTGTACCAAAATGTTCATGACATTTTGTACCAAAACGTGCATGACATTTTGTATTAAAACTTGCATGACATTTTGTATTAAAACGCGCATAACATTTTGTATTAAAACGTGCATTACATTTTGTATTAAAACCTGCATGACATTTTGTATTAAAACGTGCATAACATTTTGTATTAAAACGTGCATGACATTTTTTATTAAAACGTGGATGACATTTTGTATTAAAATGTGCATGAGATTTGTAGCAAAACGCACATAACATTTTGTATTAAAACGTGCATGAACATTTTGTATTAAAACGTGCATAACATTTTGTATTATTCGTGCATGACATTTTTTTATTAAAACGTGGATGACATTTTGTATTAAAACGTGCATGACATTTTGTATTAAAACCTGCATGACATTTTGTAATAAAACGTGCATGACATTTTGTATTAAAACGTGGACGATATTTTGTATTGAAACGTGCATGACATTTTGTATTCAAACGTGCATGATATTTTGTATTAAAACGTGCATGACATTTTGTATTCGCGTGTGCAATGTGAAGGCCACGAATGACTGACGTTGGAGTGTTGGAGGTTCGATATAATTTTCCTGAGTGCTTTATACATAAGTGACATTTTTCTCTTGGAAATTATTCATAATGATGATGACGGATCGTCGCAGGATCAGGAGGATCATCGCAGCATCAGATGTTCAAGAATCGTCGCAGGATCACATGGTATGGTATGGTGTGGTATGGTATGGTATGGTATGGTATTGCTACCTAAGTGATATTTGTGTCTTGAAAATTAATGTCATATCATTTTGATAAAGTATCGTTGCAGGATCAGATGTTGAAGGATTGTCGCAGGATCAGATGATGAAGGATCGTCTCAGGATCAGATGGTGTGGTATGGTATGGTATGGTATGATACTGGTATCTAAGTGATATTTGTGACTTGGAAATTAATATCATATCTTTGTTCTAAAGAATCGTTGCAGGATCAGATGTTGAAGGATCGTCGCAGGACCAGACGGATCGTCGCAGGATCAGTGATGAATTAGATGTTGGAGGAGCGTCGCAGGATCAGTGATGAATTAGATGTTGGAGGAGCGTCGCAGGATCAGTGATGAATTAGATGTTGGAGGAGCGTCGCAGGATCAGTGATGAATTAGATGTTGGAGGAGTGTCGCAGGATCAAGTGGAAGCTGGTTGAGGTATATACTATAGGTATGCATGATTAGTGCATGTGCATGCTGCATGGCATTGGATCCTCCTGGTGGTCTAACCTAGTACATTCACACATCAAGTGGCATTTCAACCTTTTCGACAATGCATGATAACAGGAAATTTCTCACAGCTCTTATGAGGGCATTTTTCGAGTTTTCTCGATAAAAAAATTCCTAGTTTTGTCACTTGTGTGAATAAAAGTGAAATCCAAGGACGTAGCGTCTGCGTATGCATGATGGCTTTAAAGCGTTCAAAAGAAACTAACAAAATGCAATTTGTTAGAGAAAATATCGAATTCGTATTAGCCTAATTTTAGATTAATACGAAGGTAATCGCGAGTACTTATATGATTATATAAGTTCTCTCTTCAGCCTGTTATAATGCGTTTCGAAGGACCGTCCATCAGTGGCAACAAAAATTATACCTTAGCATGGAATTTTGAAGTTTGAAGTGAAAAAAATAAGTGCTTTGCTGTTTAGACACTAGTACTCTTCTTTTTCCCTTGTTCGTATTAATTTTTTGGTTTGCAGTTGTAAGCTTTGAAAAATCCGATTAATCCCGAACATAAAGGAAATAAACGTAATCTAATCACTTTCACTAACTTTATGAAATTTGTATAAGAGGAGAAAACATACCTCCCAAATTGCATTGCATGATAACTGGACTTATAGTGGGGGTATCTCGAGGTATAATGTTTAAACTGTAGGTTTAATATTGTATAGTACTCTCTTGCCTGAAAAACAAACCCTTTAAAGAAAACCGGCTTTGCATTTTGACACACTTACTATGTTGTTTAATTTCTTACACGCCCAACCGTCGAGATGCTGTTGAAGAAGAAGATAACTGTTTGGAGTGGAGCAATGAAGCAAGTGAAATTCGATACATTGTTTACCAAAGGTAATTATACGTTACGAAAATTTAAAGGTAAGGGAACATTATTGATTAGCCATATTGAGTAAGTTGCATGTTCGGCCCGATTACGTTTATTTCCTTCATATTCGATCAACCGTAATCCAGAACGTATAAAATAAAAATAAAAACAGTGCATGACGCATGTCTTAAAAAAAGGGTAGAAGAAAAGTGTTATCGTCTACATCAGTTTGATATGAAAAAGCATGCAAGTCGTGAATACGAAGTATTTTTTTATCATAAAATAAACATTTGAATAATTCGGAAATAATTTTTGTTGTCATTGTCGGACAAAGCGCAGTTGAATGTCTAAGAGCATGATGTTTTGCGCGCTCTAAATGTGCGCGCGCTCCGCAGGTTAAACCACCAGAAGAATCGAATTAACGAGGATCAAGAATTGCATGGCAATTCCTGGGACTCGGTTTGAAATTAGCGGAGCTGAAAGGATAAATTATAGATAAAAACTGAAGTGCATGTCATTGCGGACGATTTCTAATAAAAACACCAAATTCGGACCGCCGGTCAGCTAACCTGAAATTCAGGTTACCTTTGGAGGGTTTTTCACCAGGCACTCCGGTTTCCCTCCTTTTCGTTTGGCTTTAAAAAAGAGTGTCCAGGCCTGGGGCCAAACCAAAACGTGTTGTTTGATAGTGATAAAACGCGTTTGTGGCTTCTGGGTTCGATTCCCAGAACACTGTCGTAAAAGAATTTTAAAAAGATGGTTGTGGAATCATTACTTAATTTACGTAAAAAATAGGAAATATCTGGCATTGGGATTAGCACGTAATAGGTCCTCATGGTCAGGGCCGCGGGGATAAAGCACTGTTAAGGGGGAGGGCATCTCCTGTACTCCAAAAACCTGGGAACGAAGGATGGGGGGGGCATCTCCTCCCCCAAGAAAATTTTGAAATTTACCAGGCCTCCTGTTTAAAAACCACTGTTTAAAACATTGTCTTTGAAGTAATAAAAGGCAGTTGAACTTACAATCTAGACGAAACTCAGTCTTTGCACTTGCAGTCTCGAAGAAGTTTGGGAAAAGTTGGAAGTCTTGCTTAGGTACATGGTGATATTCCTGCCGATTTTTACTGCTTTATCTTGTATATTTCGGTTGAAAATGTCAAATGCAAGTGAGCGGTTACTTTAATTTAGTGTTTCCCTGCTTATTTGATTCCAGAACGAACTATGGCGCCGAAAGATGGGGAAGGAAAAACGTAAAGGCTTTCTCGCAGCGAATAATAGGTATTATTCTATTAATATTTTTCTATTTTGCATTTGTGACTTGAAAAAACACGTTGTGTGTGTTCGTGGTAGTCCTTCTTGGAGAACTGTAAACATTCCTTCAACTACAGATATCTCGTTGTCGGAATGGAACTCTAATATAAGATAAAGTAGTTTTCTCTAGTTTATATCTAAGTTTATATGCGTAATTTTTTTCTTTTGTATTGTGCATGCTTTATAAAAAGTATATGATATCGAATATACTTTTTATGATATTAAAACAGGCAAAAAAAATAAAAAATTTCAACCGCTCTTCACCGCAATTTCGGCTCTCTTCACCGCAATTTCCACCGCTCTTCACCGCAATTTCCATCGCTCTTCACCGCAATTTCCACCGCTCTTCACCGCAATTTCCAGTCGCTTCTACGCATGTGCGAGCTTTGTTTACATTTTTCGTTTTGGTGTGGATCCATTTCATTTGCACAACATGAACTATCCAGAAAACTAAATTAAAATGGCGGACGCATCAAGAGTGAAGAGTGGAGCTTTATAAAACCATTCAACAATTGTCTTTTAAAAAACAACCAAATAAATTTTGAAAAACAACTACTGGAAGATATCTCCTGTAAGTTTGTCGATTTTATCTAAGTTTGAGATACTGTGTATAATTATGTTTACAGTGATTGTTGGGTGACTATTAAATTTGGATAAAAGATTATACTCAGATAATGATTTTGTTTATAAAATACCTTCGTACTCTGTTCTAATATTGCAGGATTCAGATTTATGAGCAAGACAATCGTGCTTCAATGGTCAAAGTAGCTCTTCTGAGTGTGTTTCATCAGCGACATCAACGCCATGTGGGTCAACATCACTGAATGAAACTGCTTCAATACGAAAGCTTACAAGTGAAGATATAGATAGAAGAGAGATTTTGATGGCGAGTATGGTTATCGAATGATTGAACTTTCAAACCTAGCAAGTGCATTTCAGTCCTTGCATAATTGGGAATTAGGTGGAAAGTTGAAAGTTACCAATGATGAGTCTCGTAGATATGGAAATAGCAAAGTCATTGTTGAGTCAGATGTTGCAGAGATTGCTGTGAGTTATGATGGCACATGGGCTAAGCAAGGGTTCACTGCAAACTTTGGAATTGATTTTGTTATTTCTGTTGACACTGGTGAGGTTCTTGACTATGGTTTTGGATCCAAATTATCGAAGTTTGACATGTATGTATGTGATATATTATTGATAATTGGTGATAAAGTTGCCAACCTTAGTATAAATTAATATATGCTAATCACTGAGTAGCGTGTACGCGCGCAGAACACGAGTGTTGGGCTACCTATCATATTACATGATGTTTCACCATTCGTTCTCTCACTTCTCTGAGCAAGAAAAAAAAACAATCCCGAAAATTCAACCACATTCACCACAAAGAACAACCACGCCTCGTGTTTTAATAAGTCACTGTTGGTATCTTATTCTTGATTTACTCAAATATATGGATCGCTTCTGACGCTTCACCCTCGCAAAATTTTGTAGATGCTTTAATATTTGTGCATGGTGAGACTGAAGTGAAGACTTCTGAAAATCGGACAATTAATTGATAATTGTCATGTAATTTCCTGGTATAACATCTCAACCTAAACATTGTAGTTAGAATATAATAACAATATCAACCTCAAATTCAAGCTAATATTTTGTATGCAATCAAGCAAAATTTAAATGCTGGTTGTTAATTTCACTGCAATTATTACACAAGATATAATTACAATCCTTTATTATTACCCAATCCTTTAGAATTGCTATCACATGTGATGCAATATAATTTTTTTACACAATCATTATTCAATTATTGTTTTCAGAATAAATTATGCCTTAGGAGGCCTTCTCCAGACAATATTTATTGCAAGCTATATGATATTTGCTCCAATTTGGCTATATTTGTGAAAGATACAGTCGCAAGCTCATTATGATCTATTGCCTCATTATCTGGTCCTTAACAACATTTTTTAGCACACTACTTAATAAACACGTATGTAAGCTTTTACTGATTTCATAGAGTGAGTTAGAAGTCAGATATGTTAAAAACAGAAGGAAAATGGTGGGTTAATGAATAGTTTGCAGTATATTTTACCAAACCTAACCAACTGAATTTACCACTGTAATTAGAACTTCATCATCACAAATTATTTCTTGCAACTCATTATCAAAAAAATTATTATGTTTAAAATCCTCTGGGCTATTTTAATCAGATAATTTAAAATGGACACTCATGAAGCACAATTCCACATGGTATAATAATGGACTGCAGTATAATATGCACCCTTCTGTGGCTTCCTTAATATTTTACTATAGAAATTTTATTTGTGCCATACAATTGTGGAAAAATTACAGTGCATGTGTAATTCAAATGTTGTTGCCTAAATGATACGGCAGCATTTTGTTGTTCGTCAATGGCAATTGCTGTGACAATATTTAAGCCTGAATATAATGGGGTGCATTGTACCTTTTCAGCTACCTTTTTTGGCAGCTCATTTTGGATGTCATCAGTGCACAAAGGCACCTGATGCAAACCATGAGCAAAATAATCGAACACCCACTGTGCCATAAAATTTGGTGCAGGACCCCTTGCACAATTCTGCAAGCCATCAGCATTCCAGCTGCCTTAAAATAACCCTCTTTGAGTGATATGGTGCTCGGTACAGGAACACCATCTTCAAAAAGTCTGATTTTCATTTGATCCAAGGTTTCTATTATTTCATTTTGGGCAATATTTTAAGGATTAGGCTGCTTTGATGTGTAATATAAAATAATATATATAACGCATGCACTTTAAGGTGAATATCATAGCGAATTGGCAACATATCGACCTAAAAAAACATGTATCCACTGAGGACAATTTCTTCTTTAAAGGGGTCCCATTTTTATTAAAATCGGTCAAGTATTCGCACAGGAATCGCAAATTAAAATCAGCAAACCACTTTGAATTATCACCGGAGTTTATCGGCATTATCATACCATGTGATCTTCTACGATTGTCAGCAAGATTGAAGATTGTTCGAAGAAGAAGGAGTTCGCCGTTGACTAAAACGTAAGTTCTGGCTTGAGTTCTTCGACTTGCTGTATGCTGCCACGGTGGGGGTTTCTTTTCCCCGCTGGGGTGGTATACAACGATCATTGCACTCTGCTAGTTCCCACTGAATTACTGAATGTAGCTCAGGGTTTCTTTGCTTTTTTTCGTTGTATATAGGTTTATCTGAACAGCCAGTTGTCAAAAGATGAAGTAGAAATATTTTCTTAAAGCTGTGACAGTTTAATATCAGTTCAACTGATTCAGTTGGGGAACTTGTGGAGGTGAATTTCAAAATAGCGATGCCACAGAGATGATGCCATGTGGACTTGTGGCTTTCACCTTTGTGGGCAAGCTGGTCGTGCTGTGTGTTCAAAGTTAAGTATTTTGTTTTCCTCTTAATCTTCTAAAGCAAATCGTTTGGTCAGAAATAATGCAAAAAACCATGTACAATATGAAATACTCTTCCTAAAAAGCTAGCTAATTCAGCTCCAATTTTAATACGAATTTTCCCTTTAAATATCTAGCATGAAGATGAAGCCGATTTCGAGGGAATCTTTCAACGTGCTAGCCAGTAAAGGTATTAAGCTCATAACATTTTAGTGATATATGGCATGTTACATTGTACGCCCAGAAAGTAATATGGCTCGGCTTTTAATCCTTCTTTAATTTGCCGTGCTGGATGCTGTATTTCCCTGGATGAAGGGATACTTAAGCTAGAAATCATTTGAACCAAATTAAAAAGGTTATAATCTTCTCTGCCATGTGTTTATTTGTAGGTAATTTATTACCTGGGCCAGTAGCAATTTTAGTTTAAAATAACAGCATTCTGTCAATGAGACATGTAAAACTGACTGCTTTTGCTTTGTAAAACAGCCACACCTTTATTCGTTGAAATTCTTGTACTTAATCATAGTTTGACCAGCACTTTTTTTTTGTTCAAGATTTGTGTTGGATATGTTCCTGTTTCTTCAGAAGCCAAGGTAAGATTGTTTCCTTTTCACATGAGACTTATATTGGTTTATAATGTAGAAAGTTATATTAATTATTAATTAATTCCCAAGGAAATTGTACTAGCTGTTTAGTAACTGGAAACTTTCAGGCTTTAAATTCATGAATTGAAGCCACATATTGAATATTGATACTGAATTATGTACTATTCATCTTATTATATCTGCTTAATGTTGCTCCAGTATGTGTGATCAAACCAGATGCATTTACCTTATATTTTGGATGTAAGGAAAGTTGCTAGCACTTTACTCTTCATGAAATCTGATGGGGGAAAAACCAACCAACAATTACTATATCAAGAGAGTAACCATTCCATTTTACAGTCTACATAGAGTTAACTATAATATGGTGACTTATGCTTATTATTTGTAACATTCTCAGGCTTCCTAGTGGCCACGTTGCATTTTGAGGTATATACTTTGATGATTGGAATTTACCCTCTTCGATAGCCAAGGTAAGATTCTTTCCTTGCACAGGACACTTATGTATCATAGGTTATATAATGTAGCCAGAAATTTATATAGGTATATTAATTTCTCAAGCAAATTGTACTAAATGTTTAGCTACTGGGAGCTTGCTACTACCCAGGAAATATATTGCCTTGGTGAAACAAATACCATATATACTGATGTACGAAGAGTTTATATATACTGATGCACAAAGAGTTATTATATACTGATGCACGAAGAGTATGAAGAGTATTAAATATAGCTAGCAACCCATATCATGTTTACCAGTTCAAAATTTTGCACCCAACCTAATACCAGGTTCAAATAACTCAAACAAGCTGCATTGCTGACCTTTTTGTCTCTGGTAGAAGAACACGAATGTTGGCTTTGTTTTATTTTGAAATCCCCGTTGGCAGGTGAGAAAGATCATTGTTAAGTTTTATCTGACTCCAGGATGTATTTGATATGTTATGCTGGTAGGTGATTTTAACTGATAGAATTATGCAGTATAAATATAGTTAGTTTGTGTAGGTTTCATGCTGTAGTAAACACTGAATCAATAAGAGATGATCCAGTATGCCATTCCTGGCTTCAAAATATATTGTTCTTTCTTATTTTAAGTTAAATATGTATTTCTGAAATTATATAAATTTATTATTTCGGTAAAGACATTTCTATAATATAATTGTTAGCAGTTGTCTTGTTTCATTGTAGATATAGACAGAGCCACAGCATCGGCATTGCAAATCCTACTATCACATTTGTTAGGAGATGCTGGCAGGCTAATATTGTGGGTTTGGTATGTAATATACAGTTTGTTTTACCCAAAGCTATAAATCACAGGAGAAATATTTTCAGCTAGCTAGCAACCCATATAATGTTTACAAGTTCAAAATTTTCACTTATGCCAAAGAGCCAACAAACGTATTTTTAGGCATTTCTTTCTTCATCATTCATGGTAACCGACTGAATACAAATTTAAACAATTCAAACAAACTGCATTGCTGACTTTTTTGTCCCTGGAAGAAGAACACAAATGTTGGCTTTGTTTCTTTTGAAATCCCTGTTGGCAGGTGAGAAAGATCATTATTATACATTTTATTTGTCTCCAGGATATTTTTGAAAGTATTACCATTATCAAGACTAGATTATTTCACTGTCTTAACTATATAGTGAAAACTTTTTAGTGGTCTCTCAAGATGTTGTTGGTTCAAAAGTATCTTCTGCATTTAGTGGTGACAATTATTTTATAATAGAGAAAACACAGGGTATGTAAACATGTGAAATAAACATGTTATTACTTGATGTGTTTCAGGTAACTCCAATCATGGGTGTGCTTCTTATCATCTTGTGCTTTATATCTGTTGTTGAACCTGTCTAGGGGCAAATTGAAAAGACTCAGGGTGATATCGTTGCAGACAAGGATGTTATCATTCGTCGTTCATGGTTGAATGATGTGGAACATATGTTACGCTGGTATGTGATTTTTAACAACAGATGTTGCTTACTGCAAGATGAACTGTTTAGAGCTGATAGAATTATCCAGTGTAAATATAGTTAGTTTGTGTAGGTTTCCTGCTGTAGTAACGCTGAATCAATAAGAGATGATCCAGTATGCCAATCTTGGTTATGCCATTGATCCTGGCTTCAAAATATATTGTTCTTTCTTATGTTACTTAAACATGTTTTTCTGAAATTATATAAATTTAATAATTCCGTAAAGACATTTCTATAATATAAGTGTTAGCAGTTGTCTTGTTTCTTTGTAGATACAGACAGAGCCACAGCATGGGCTTGCAAATCTTGCTATCATATTTGTTAGGAGATGCTGGCAGCCTTATATTGTGGGTTTGATATGTAATATATAATTTGTTGTGCCTAATAAAGCTATGAATCACAGACACGCCCGCTTAATCTAATTATGATGTCACTTTCGGTGGGCGGGGCTTTTTTTGCTACTTCCTTACGCTTTGATTTTCAACTTCCGATTTTTTGTGGGCGTAGTCAGACACGCCAATCTAATTATAACGTCTTCTCCGGTGGGCGGGGCTTATTTTCCTACTTCCTTACACTTTGACTTTCAACTTCCGATTTTTTGTGGGCGTGGTCAAACATGGCAATTCAATCTAATTATGATGTCACTTCCGGTGGGCGGGCTTATTTCACTACTTTCTTACGCTTTGACTTTCAACTCCCGATTTTTTGTAGGCGTGCTCAGACACACCTACTTAATTTAATTTTGACATCACTTTTGGTGGGCGTGGCTTATTTCTCTACTTCCTTACGCTTTGACTTTCAACTTCCGATTTTTTGTGGCAGTGGTCAGACACGCCCACTTAAATCTAATTATGACGTCACTTCCAGTGGGCGGCGGTTTTCTCGCTACTTCCTTACGCTTTGACTTTCAAGTTCCGATTTTTTGTGGAAGTGGTCAGACACGCCCACTTCAGCACGCCCATTTTTAGATTCACTTTTTTTCTCCAAATTCAAATTGGGATTCCCTATTTTCTCGAGATTCATTTTCAGTTTCACTTTTTTCTCCAGATTTATTTTCGGATTTGACTTTTTTCTTGAGATTCATTTTTGCTGTCAGATTCGGATTCAATTTTTATCTCCAATTCAGATTCGGATTCACATTTTGTCAAGACTCATTTTTGGTTTCACTTTTTTCTGCAAATTCATTTTCCACTTCTGCAAAATAATTGTGAAATCACAATCAAAATTGTCAACTCACAATCAAAATTTTCAACTCACAATCAAAATTGTCAACTCACAATCAAAATTGTCAACTAATAATCGAAATTGTCAACCCGCAATCAAAATTGGTTTCACTTTTTTCTCCAGGTTCATTTTACCCATCTCTTTTTTCTCCAGATTGATTTTGGATTCAGTTTTTTTCCTCCACATTCAGATTCTGATTAACTTTTTTCTCGAGATTCATTCCCGGATGGATTCACTTTTTTCTCGAGATTCATTTTTGGAATTCATATTTTTCTTTAGATTCAAATTGGGATTCACTTTTTTCTCGAGATTCATTTTCGGTTTCACTTTTTTCTGCAGATTCATTTTCTGATTCGACTTTTTTCTCGAGATTCATTTTCGCTTTCAGATTCGGATTCAATTTTTTTCTCCAATTCAGATTCGGATTCACATTTTGTCGAGACTCATTTTCGGTTAACTTTTTTCTCCAAATTCATTTTGCGCTTCTGTGAAAAATTGTCAACTAACAGTCAAAATTGTCAACTCACAATCAAAATTGTCAACTCACAAGCAAAATTTTCGAATTACAATCAAAATTTTCAACTCACAATCAAAATTGTCAACTCACAATCGAAATTGTCAACTCACAATCGAAATTGTCAACTCACAATCAAAATTGGCTTCACTTTTTTCTCCAGGTTTATTTTCTCCATCTCATTTTTCTCCAGATTCATTTTGGATTCAGTTTTTTTTCCACATTGAGATTCTGATTAACTTTTTCTCGAGATTCATTCTCCGATGGATTCACTTTTTTCTCGAGATTCATTTTTGGATTCAGTTTTTTTCTCCAGATTCAAATTAGGATTCACTTTTTTTTCGAGATTCATTTTCGGTTTCACTTTTTTTTGCAGATTCATTTTCAGATTCGACTTTTTTCTCGAGATTCATTTTCGCTTTCACATTCCAATTCAGATTCGGATTCACATTTTATCAAGACTCATTTTCGGTTTCACTTTTTTCTTCGAATTCATTTTCCGTTTCTGCGAAAAATTTTCAACCCGCAATCAAAATTTTCAACTCACAATCAAAATTCTCAACTCACAATCAAAATTCTCAACTCACAATCAAAATTGTCAAATAATAATCGACATTGTCAACTCACAATCAAAATTGGTTTCACTTTTTTCTCCAGGTTCATTTTACCCATCTCTTTTTTCTCCAGATTGATTTTGGATTCAGTTTTTTCTCCACATTCAGATTTGGATTTACTTTTTTTTCGATATTCAGTTTTGGATTCACTTTTTTTCTCCAGATTCAAATTGCTATTCACTTTTTTCTCGAGATTCATTTTCGGTTTCACTTTTTTCTCCAGATTAATTTTCGGATTCGACTTTTTTCTCGAGATTCATTTTCGCTTTCAGATTCACATTCAATTTTTTTCTCCAATTCAGATTCGGATTCACATTTTGTCGAGACTCATTTTCAGTTAACTTTTTCCTCCAAATTCATTTTGCGCTTGTGTGAAAAATTGTAAACTAACAATTTAAATTGGCAACTCACAATCAAAATTGTCAACTCACGAGCAAAATTTTCGAATCACAATCAAAATTTTCAACTCACAATCAAAATTTTCAACTCACAATCAAAATTGTCAACTCACAATCGAAGTTGTCAACTTACAATCAAAATTGGCTTCACTTTTTCTCCAGGTTCATTTTCTCCATCTCATTTTTCTTCAGATTCATTTTGGTTTCAGTTTGTTTCTCCACATTAAGATTCTGATTAACTTTTTTCTCGAGATTCATTCTCGGATGGATTCACTTTTTTCTGGAGATTCATTTTTGGATTCAGTTTTTTTCTCCAGATTCAAATTGGGATTCACTTTTTTCTCGAGATTCATTTTCCGTTTCACTTTTTTTTGCAGATTCATTTTCGGATTCGACTTTTTTCTCTAGATTCATTTTCGCTTTCAGGTTCGGATTCAATTTTTTCTCCAATTCAGATTCGGATACAATTTTGTCAAGACTCATTTTCGGTTTCACTTTTTTCTCCAAATTCATTTTCCGCTTCTGCGAAAAATTGTCAACTCACAATCAAAATTGTCAATTCACAATCAAAATTGTCAACTCACAATCAAAATTGTCAACTCACAATCAAAATTGTCAACTAACAATCGAAATTGTCAACTCACAATCAAAATTGGTTTAACTTTTTCTCCAGGTTCATTTTACCCATCTCTTTTTTCTCCAGATTGATTTTGGATTCAGTTTTTTCTCAAATTCGGATTCGGATTAACTTTTTTCTCAAGATTCATTTTTGGTATGAGTTTTTTTCTCCAGATTCAAATTGGGATTCACTTTTTTCTCGACATTCATTTTCGGTTTCACTTTTTTTTGCAATTTCATTTTTGGATTCGTCTTTTTTCTCTAGATTAATTTTCGCTTTCAGATTCGGATTCAATTTTTTCTCCAATTCAGATTCGGATTCACATTTTGTCAAGATTCATTTTCGGTTTCACTTTTTTCTCCAAATTCATTTTCCACTTCTGCGAAAAATTGTCAACTCACAATCAATTGGTTTCACTTTTTTCTCCAGGTTCATTTTACCCATCTCTTTTTTCTCCAGATTGATTTTGGATTCAGTTTTTTCTCCAGATAAAGATTCGGATTCACTTTTTTCTCGAGATTCATTTTTAGATTCAGTTTTTTCCTCCAGATTCAAATTGGGATTAACTTTTTTCTCGAGATTCATTTTCGGAATCACTTTTTTTTCAGATTCATTTTTGGATTCACTTTTTTCTCAAGATTAATTTTCGGATTCACTTTTTTTCATGAGATTCATTTTCCGATTCATTTTTTTTCTCGAGATTCATTTTTAGATTCACTTTTCTCGAGATTCATTTTCGGATTCACTTTTTTCTTAAAGGACATTGGTCATATTTTGGTTTATTATCAAACTTAGTAAAATCGAGTGCCCTGATCACGAATCTGCTCTTATTTTTTATCCAAAACTTTTCCTTCTTGAGTTATTGAATGGGGAATATTTAAGTAGGCCGCCATCTTGAAGAAAGTGAATTATGCGAAATTAATTGATGACGTCAAGAGCAGGTAACAAAGTAAACATATGCGCCATGATATGCGCCAAAAAATACAAAGCAAGTTTACTCTCTGTGCGTATAACTTTCTAAAGACTAGACAATACTGCTCTTTATGGTGCTCGGCTACAGGTATCAGACAACGTTATTGTTGTAATGAAACGTGTTTAACGGAACTGCAACGTGTCAAATACCTCAGATGTTCGGTCTTTTCTTGGCAGCCAAGAATGACTTCGGCATGGACGGTATCACCCATCACAGGCATTGAGCAAAAGAGTACAACATGTTTAACTTCCGTTCCGATTTGCGGTACGACACTTTGTTGTTATTGTCGGCCTCACTGGATCTACACATCTTTCCCGCACACGCTCAATAATAAGGCATACTCATGTGGTTACTCACTTCACTTGGCACGCACCTCTCGACGAGACATGTATTGCCCAGTCTACGGCTGTAACAGCGATAGCAAGAAACAAACGGACCCTCCAACGCACTTTTTCACCTTTCCGTCTGGAACATCAACGACGCAAAAGCAAAGACGAAAAGTGTGGATAGAATTTTGCAAGCGAAAAGCGTTCCGACCTTCATCGTGCACAAGAATATGCTCAAAGCATTTTGAGGAAGACGCGTATGAACCAGGAGGTTCGCCGCAGTTTCTAGCGCGTCTAGGTTACGGTGAAAAATTTATAGCACGGCTGAAAAAGGACGCAGTACCAACAATTAGTACGGCTGTAGAGGTCGCCACGGAAAAATCAAGAGCCGCCAGTGTGAGAAGACAACGAGAAAAGGTACTTTGATTGCGCAAAATATTCATAGTGAATTATAGATGATACTGATGAATATATAATATTCATTCGTATCATACGGTATTTGTCAAGGCAGTATTAACTATAATATCCCACTGTGTAAAGTTGACTATATATTTTATAGGATATTGACACTCTTATACGTGGCGTCGAAATCGAACAAGAAGAAGCGGGATGCTCCAAGGCTGGCGAGAGCATTGAAATTGAAGGCGAAGCTCAAATTCCGCCGTCACCTGAAGTAGAGGAACACGAAGCATCGACCAGCACTGGGTCAATAGGGTCAATTCCAAGCACGCTTGCACAGCTTCAACAACCAGTCAGGTCAAAATCAACGCAAACCAGACCACAATTGCGATCGATAAAGACCCAAACTGTAATCAACGCGACATCCCGTTTCTTTGACGAGAAGCAACAAGAATGTTTATCAACCGAAACCGAAACGACAGAGGCGAAGCTGGGGAAACCCCAAAGTGTGACAACAACTAGTGGCGCAACTATCACCGAGCCCGAAAGCGAAGTAGAAGTGAGCAGTGGCAGTGATAAGTCGGGTGAACAGGACCCTATGTATGTGGACAGTGAAAATCAACCATCAGATAGCGAGGATAGTTTTGAGGAAGAAGAGTCAGCTGTCAATGTCATCTTACAGCGGGGAAAACCCCCAGAACAGCAAATGAAGTTTGTGGTGTTTGAGGACAGTGTCTTGGATGTGTTTGGCACCTGTTACATATGTAATGGTGAATGTATTGTCACGGTGGAGAAACAACGGGGATCATTGTGTACAATTAGAAGCCAATGCCTGAAGGAAAGCCACCATTGTTTTGTGTGGGTCACCGGTCCAACTGTGCATGGTATGCCTGTATTCCATTTGCTGTTGGCATCAGGTGTTTTAACAACTGGGATGGAGGCATCTAAGGTGTTGCGTTTCTTTCAAGCACTGAAAATCCCAAATGTGAAACAGCGAGAGTTCTCCAGAATTTTCAAGTACCATGTCATCCCTACAGTCTACGACGTTTGGCAAAAAGAACAATTGTCTAGACTGGCTGAAGTTGCAAACAAATCTGTTATTGTTGCATATGACATGCGGGTCGACAGTCCTGGACATAGTGGTCTTTTGGGTTCAGGGAGCATATTGGATGCCGAAAGAAACATCATCTTGAGTACACAAGTAATCAAGGTACAGCATGTAACTATGATTTATGGTCTATAATATAGACATAATTATCCATAATTACTTATGGATCATTATTTCTGTATTATATTATAACCATCAACCAATATTAAATATGGTATAATATATTAAAAGTATATACTATATGTTATATATATATATATATATGATAATATCAATATTATCAGATGTTAAATTTCTGTAACACACCTACACAAACTGTATTTTGCTTCATTTTTGCTGAGCATTGTGTATACAGTTTTTAAGGTTATTGCACTTTTCTAAACTGCAATTTACACCAAATATGTTCTAAACAGTTGTATGTGTTTTTCAACAGTCTACTGAGGTAAAGAACTCTAACGCAATGGAGTTGGAGTCACTGAAGCGGCAGCTAAAGTATTTAGAAGAAAATGGTACTAGTGTTTCAAAACTGGTGACAGATCGCCATGGGCAAGTGTCTAGCTATATGGCAAATGAACGACCGCAAGTTGAACATTGCTATGATGTGTGGCATGTAGCAAAAGGTAAATAAAATATAGAACCATAATTATAGCATTATCAGGGGGGAAATCAGGCAAGGAGCAATTGCTCATGATCTTTGGGTTACATTTGGCATGTGAAACAGTTTAGTTAGTGTCAAAATAGGTTGTAGTATAATACATTCTTATATTAACAAAAAACAATAAGAGAGAAGAAAAGATTGACAAAGCTTGCCAAGAAAAAGAAATTCAAATTGATTGGGCCATGGATTGGTGTGAGTAACTTTAGTTTTCTATCTGTGCATGTATTTTGGTTGTTCTGCCTTTTTGCTCAAAATACATATATATATATATATATATATATATATATATATATATATATATATATATATATATATATATATATAGGGGTTGTAAAAATTTCACCATTGGGGCCCAGCCCAATGATTAAAAAGATAGTGATTCACCATGTTTTGGCAAACAAATACTTAGCAACAAGCTGGATCATTTTCTAACCAAGCTATGCCCTGCATGATTCTCCTAAAATGTACAGGATTACACAAAGTTACAACCAATGTACAGCACATGTATGTGATTAATATTGTCCAAACACTACCAATGTGTTAAGGTAGTTAAGACCCAGCAGTCTGAGGTAACCCTATTATGTAAACTCATGTCATTTCTTTTACTTATAATTATAGTCAATTATAAACCACATCTACTGGGTTGGGAACTCCAGTGAAACTGCTGATGAGCGAGAGGAGAAATGGCGCAGTATCATCAATCACATTGCCAACATACATGAACATGAAGGGCATGTGATCTTCATGGAATGTGAACATGATGTGATTGAAAGAGCCTGGCTTAAACAAGGTTTGCTGTTTATGTATTTTTGTTACTGATATTTACTTTAGCCAGAGAAGAATGGTTGTACTGTAGAGAAGAAGGGTTGTACTGTATGTGATAGAAAGCCCCAAGGATGCATTTTCAGGGTATAAATATTGATGTGTCTTATAGGGTCTGCAGCCTACAAAAAGCTGGCAGAGGTACTGACAAGACCACGTCTCATTGCGGCAATCAGGAAATTGTCCCAGTATCATCAAACATCAGGGTTGGAGGCCAAGCATGCACTGGATAATCTTCTTGCTTCAAAGAATACCTATCATTCTTATCATTCACTGAGTGCACGGTAGGTGGGAAACCTATTTGAGTTCTCTAATTTGACAGGTTGTAATCCTACTCATATTATGAACTATATGTTTTATTAGGTTATTCTGTGCAAATCTACATTATAATGAAAACAGCAAACGTAAACAAGCAACAAAAGCTGACGGCACTGCTCAATGGGCAATTGTTTATCCAAAAGCTTTTAAAGGCGAAAAAGCTGTTGCCAAACCATTGAAAGAGAAGCCTACTTATGGTAAAAATTAATTTGTATATTAAAATTGAGTCAATTAATACTATTTATTATTAATACTCTTTATTTTATCTATAATCCCACGCAAAATATGAAATATATTATTATAATAAATGAACTAACAAATAACAAATGTAGAAAATGTAAATGCCCGCAACTCTAATATACAAATAAGATGTTATAAAATCAAGGTTTTCCTCCAGTTCTGTCTTCAAAATCAAAATTACTCTGACTGAAGATTACTCCATCAATTTTGAAAACAGATGTGAAACAAAACTTTGTTTTTACTCACCCCCACATAATTTTTTGCAGGATACATAGATGTTATAATGAGTCAAGTTGTACAAAATAGAATCAAATACAGTACTTTGAAGAAAGCTAGAGTTCATGCAGAGAAGGTGTTGCCAGTCGAGCCACAATCTCTGGTGCAAAAGTACTTGGGCGGAAAGGAAGGGCCATCTAAACAGCAAGTGGTGGACAGCAGGAAGTCGCGGTTTTCGAAGCCAGCTTTACCTGTAAGTAAAGAGCATGGTCCAAATCACACACCTTGTGTATGTAAAGGAAAATGTGCCACTAAGAAATGTAGTTGCAGGGCTGATGAGCTAATGTGTGATACTAATTGTAAATGCAAAGTAGACAAGTGTAAGAATCGTGAGTGAACATAATATTATTGTCCATTTTTAGTTAGTTGATTGGTCCCACCATAGTAGGGTGGTGATACATTTACTGCCTGCCTGGCTCTTCTTGGGCTAAAATAATCTTATCTGTACAATAGATTATAGATGTATATATAAATATCGTATTTATTTCATTAATATTTGTGTTTGTTTTTCATTGGAAGAGGCCTAGGCTGAAAATCTTCCAGGGGCCGGTTGTATCAAGCCCGTTTAGCTTAAACGGTGGATAAGTTCAAAATAGAAAGCAAGTCTGCCGTTTTATTCAACAAGCAAACTAAATGTTTTTAATCTTAATACAAAGATACTGTTTACAACTACATATTCAGTGCATAATATTCAAGTTGACTCATTGAAGAGAGATGTAAGAGTGTTATTTAATTTTGACTTATCCACCGTTTAGGCTAAACGGGCTTGATACAACTGGCCCCAGCTGGTTTGTAAAATAATAAAATAGCAACAATTATAGATAATTAAATGGGGAATTAGGCTACAGGATTATATGGGTTGTAACATAAATAAATTTTATTTCTAACATTTACTTACTGTTTTGATTTTTTTGCATATTTGAAATGAGTATAAACTCCATCATGTGAGGCAAACTGTTCTCGAATTTTCGTGTAAACACACGCAGGAAACGGCCTTCTCTTCTTTCTCCCCAAAATTTGGAATATCCAACGCGAACATCGTTGGTATGCAACTAGTCTGTACAATTTATGCATTTTATCCAGATCACTGTCATCCAGAGGCCAGTTATCTTCGAGGTATTGGAAAACGTCTATTTTTAAAACGCTTTCCGAAAGCATATTTGCTTGGAAATCACCATGTGCTGTCAGGCATCTTTCTCCATTCGCTTCTGCTTCATTTAACAAATTGTCGTACTCGTCATATTCTAGTGCCTTCTCATGGCAACAAAATGATTCGATGGCCTTTGGTTTGAGCGTGCAATGGCCACATTTACACCACTCCAAGCTTTGAAGGCGCCAAGCATGTTCAGCTTCGAAGGCATGGTCAACTTCCTCATCTGAGTCTGAAATTATATCGCTTTCAGAGCTATCTGAGTCGCCTTTGTCGCTGCTTGTACACCCCGGTTCAGGCTCATATTGTTAGGGTAGTACCTCCTTTACTTGGTTTTTGTGTATATCTTCCATTTCAGCAGCCGAAATTCCACTAACAGCGCAAAAGTATTGAAAACACTGACCGCTTCCATACAAAATGATTTGATTCGAGTTCTCCTTCACCTGCTCTTGACGTCACGCGGTCACGTGATGAAAAGATAATCAGTTTGAGAATTCATTCAAGATGGCGGCCTACTTAAATATTCCCCATTCAATAACTCAAGAAGGAAAAGTTTTGGATAAAAAATAAGAGCAGATTCGTGATCAGGGCACTCGATTTTACTTATTTTGATAATAAACTAAAATATGACCAATGTCCTTTAAGATTCATTTTCGGAATCACTTTTTTTTCAGATTCATTTTTGGATTCACTTTTTTCTTGAGATTCATTTTCGGAATCACTTTTTTTTTAGATTCATTATCGGATTCACTTTTTTTTTGAGATTCATTTTCGGATTCAGTTTTTTCTCTTGATTCATTTTCGGAATCACTTTTTTCTCGAGATTCATTTTCATTTCCACTTTTTTCTCGAGATTCATTTTCGAATTCACTTTTTTCTCGGGATTCATTTTCGGAATCACTTTTTTTTTGAGATTCATTTTCGGATGCACTTTTTTCTCGATATTCATTTTCGGAATCACTTTTTTTTGAGATTCATTTTCGGATTCACTTTTTTCTCAAGATTAATTTTCGGAATCACCTTTTTTCAGATTCATTTTTGGATTCACTTTTTTCTCAAGATTCATTTTCGGATCCAATTTTTTTTCAGATTCATTTTCGGATTCACTTTTTTTCTTGAGATTTATTTTCGGATTCACTTTTTCTTAGGATTCATTTTCGGAATCACTTTTTTTTAGATTCATTATCGGATTCACTTTTTTCTCGAGATTCATTTTCGAATTCATTTTTTTCTCTGATTCATTTTCGGAATCACTTTCTTTCTCGAGATTCATTTTTGGATTCACTTTTTTTTCAGATTCATATTCGGATTCACTTTTTTCTTGAGATTCATTTTCGGAATCACTTTTTTCTTGAGATTCACTTTGGACAACAAACTTTTTAACAACATTTTAACCACCTTTTTAACAACTTTTTAACAATTTTTTAAAAAACTCTCTAACAACTTTTTAACAACTTTTTACCAACTTTTTCACAACTTTTTAACAACTCTCTAAAAACTTTTTAACAACTTTTTAACAACTTTTGAACAACTTTTTAACAAGATTGTAGCGATTTTCTAGCAACTTTTTAACAACTTTTTAACAACTTATTAACAATTTTTTAACAACTTTTTAACAAATTTTTAACAATTTTTTCAACAGAAGAATTTCAGATATCAAAATAGTGAAAAATATTTTTGCAAAAGTGGTATTATGTCTTAGGCTAATGTGTAAAGTGACACAGAGCCCTAGAACGACACATGTAGCACAAGATAGGCACATTAGCTCAAGAAAAAAGACGTTTTTTGAAAAAAAATTTCAGAGAATTAAAGAAAGTTAAAAAATGTTAATATAGGAAGTTTAAGATTTTTTTTTGATGAAGAATTAATTTGTCTTGGGTTACCTGTTTCGAAGCAGACACAGTAGCCCAAGATAGACAGAGGTAGCCCAAGAGAAAGACTTTTTTTTCCAAAAAAATATCAGAGAAATAAAGAAAGTTAAAAAATGTTAATATATAAAGTTTAAGATTTTTTTTTTATGAAGAATTAATTTGTCTTGGGTTACCTGTTTCGAAGCAGACACAGGTAGCCCAAGATAGACACAGTAGCCCAAGACAAAAGACTTTTTTTCAAAAAAAATCTCAGAGATTAAAGAAAGCTAAAAAATGTTAAGATATAAAGTTTAAGATTTTTTTTTGATGAAGACTTAATTTGTCTTGGGTTACCTGTTTCGAAGCAGACACAGGTAGCCCAAGATAGACACAGGTAGCCCAAGACAAAATTCTTTGTTGGTAAAAAAATCCAGATTAATTAAAAAATATGTAAATGCTTAGAGCTTGATAAAATCACTAGGATTAGGATTTGGTGTAAAAATTTGTGTGAAAATGTGTGTGAAAATAGATTTAAAAATGGTGTAAAAATAATGTCAAAAAATAGTGTAAGTATGGTGTAAAA